TGCAGAACTCGGAGCATCTTGTCATGGTGTATGATGATAAGAGCAAGAGTGTGCGAGGCCGCCCCCTCAAGGAGCTAGTGCACAACCGCGTCCCTTATCGGGACCGGGGGTGGTGCAAGGCAGAGGTGGAGTGGTCCTCTTGCAGGAGCAGGTCCGAGCAGAACCAGCGGATCGACGCTCCGGGCTCCGAAGTGAACTCCGAAAGCGAGCTCAAGGGCAAAGTCCCCATGGCGCCCGAGGTCTTCCAAGAAGACCTGAAGAAAGCCGCCTTCACGCATCGAAAGAAGGATGCCGAAGCAGTGCAGAAGCTGCAGCAGGATATTTACTACGAGAAAGTCTCGGCATGCGAAGAGGCCGTGCTGACAAACTTGCCGGAAGGCGAGTTGGGCCGGCTGGCCAAAGCCCTGAAAGATTACAGGAAGCTGAAGGTCTTGCGCCTCCGCAACCTTGAGGTGGGTGAGGCAGAGGCCGAGGAGTTCTGCAAGGTGGGGCCGCCGTGCCGCGAGGGCGCTTGTCTTAGCAAAAGCTGTCTTTTCAGGCACTTGGGCTGAACGACACAATCACAAAGCTGGAGATCTATGTCGCTAAATCCTATCAAGAACGGTGTTCGGCTCTGTGGAAGGCACGAGCTTTCACGGTGACAGAGATACGGTAGCTTGCTCCCGGCCCCCGTTGCTCCCCTGAAAGGCACTCGCAGATGCACTGAAGTCCAACTGTACGATCACCCACGTCGACCTCGGTTACAACAGGATCGGAGACGAGGGTGCCGAGGCCAGGCGGTGCCCACAGGGTCTTCGCAGCTTGCAATTTCGACCCCGCGTTTCCGCTGACAGGCACTGGCAGATGCCTTGAAGTCCAACAACTGCACGGTCACCCACGTCAACCTCGATTGGAACCAGATCGGACCCGAGGGTGCCAAGGCCAGGGGGTGCCCACGGGGGCTTTGCAGCTTGCAATTTCGACCCCGCGTTTTTGCTGAGAGGCACTCGCAGATGCCTTGAAGTGCAACTGCACGGTCACCCACGTCAACCTCGAGGTTAACAAGATCGGGGACGAGGGCGCCAAGGCCAGGCGGTGCCCACCGGGGTCTTGGCAGCTTGCAGTTTCGACCCCGCCTTTCCCCTAAGAGGCACTCGCAGATGCCTTGAAGGCCAACTGTACGCTCACCCACGTCAACCTCCGTTTCAACATGATCCGAGCCGAGGGCGCCGAGGCCAGGGGGTGCCCCACGGGGGTCTTTGCAGGTTGCAGTTTCGACCCCGCGGTTCCCCTGAGAGGCACTGGCACATGCCCTGAACTCCAATCGCACCGTCATCCGCGTCGACCTGAGTGGCCACATTATCGGAGCCGAGGGCATCAAGGCCAGGCGCTGCCCAGCCGGGGTCTTGGCAGCTTGCAGTTTCGATCCCGCGTTTTCCGCTGAGAGGCGCTCGCAGAGGCCGTGGTGGCCAATGGCACCGTCACCGTGAAGCTGGACGACGGCCACCTGCTCGGAGCCGAGGGCGCCGAGGCCGGGGCTCTCGGGGTTCCAGCCCTGAAGTCACCCGCGTACTGTCACCCGCGTCGACCTCGCATGGAATCGAAGCAGAGATGATAAGGTTCCTCGGGCCCATGGGGCACCNNCGGCGAGCTTGTGGCTCGATCTGAATGAAAGTTGCTGCCAGGACATCGAAGAATCGGACATCGAAGAATCGGCGAAGCACTCTGCAGATGCAACGAAGTCCCAGGTCGGGGCCCTAGCAGCCCTATAGCATCCTCCAAATAGCAGGGTCCTGCATAGTGTGCCTGATGCTTTGTTGTGTGCATCGGGCGCCCGGGTCTACGACACACGGATCTTCAGCACCTCCGGAACTCCGGAGACAGCAGGCTCTTGCCGGAACCGGTTTACAAACTCACGAAAGAGGCAGAGACCTTGGAGTGCGCATCAGCCGGGGCGAGGTGGCCGAGTAGTGACCCGAGTCTGTGTTGCACACTGCGTGCCCGTTGGCCTTTGCTGGGTGGGTCCCAGCGATGAGGTCACGATGTGTTTGTACACTGACGTGCATCGCTGATTGCAAGTGCTTGGTTCTTCTGGAGGGCATCTGCTGCCTGCCGGAGGATGGCAAAAAGTACTCTTCGTGGGGCAGGTTGATTATTCCCGACAAAAACGGTTCCACCTGAGACGGTGGCCTGTGGGCGGGAGGGGGGGGGAGGGGGAGGGGGGCGGGGCAGGACGGCAGGACTGCACTGTCCGAGCCGCAAACGAGCCTTCCCCAACCAGCCTTAGCGGAGCTCTGCCGAGGCTTGGACGGGGAAAGTGCGCATCAAGGACTGCTGTGCCGTTCTCCGGGCAGAGTCTGACGTACTTGGATGCACAGTAGTTCCCGTGCCAGAAGCTCGCGTCCGAGCTGACGACCAACAGCGGCACCACCCGTCTAGAATTTGCAGGTGAGGACATCACGGCGGAGGACTGCAAGGCGCGGTGCCCACAGGGACATTGCAGCCTTAGACCGGTATGCTCGCAGTTGACGATCAGCCGCACATTCCCAAAATCGAGAATTAATGTCTTTGTAGCTTCAACTTGAGTCCCGTCGCGAGGCTCTCGCAGACGTTCCAAATGTTCTGACGATTTCGGATGTACAGATTTGCAGTCAACTTCGGTAGAATCCAAGCCGGAGACGATGAGCCCGGCCCGGGGCTTCCGCTGAGAGGCACTGGCAGCTGCCTTGAAGTCCAACTGTTCGATCACCCACGTCGACCTCCGTGGCCACAAGATCGGGGACGAGGGCGCCAAGGCGAGGCGTTGCCCACGGGGTCTTCGCAGCTTGCAGTTTCGACCCCGCTTGTCCCTGAGAGGCGCTCGCAGATGCTCTGAAATCAAACAAGACCGTCACCGACATCAAGCTCCAGCGCAACAAGATCGGAGACGAGGGCGCCAAGGCCAGGCGCTGCCCGCGCGGGTCTTCGCAGCTTGCAATTTCGACCCCGCTTGTCCCTGAGAGGCGCTCGCAGATGCCCTGAAATCAAACAAGACCGTCACCGACATCAACCTCGATGGCAACAGGATCGGAGACGAGGGTGCCAAGGCCAGGCGGTGCCCACGGCTGCGGAGCTTGCAGTTTCGACCCCGCTTTTCTTGTGAGAGGCACTCGCAGATGCCTTGAAGTCCAACTGTGCGGTCACCGACATCAGTCTCGGTTACAACGAGATCGGGGTCGAGGGCGCCAAGGTCAGGCGGTGCCCGCGGGGTCTTCGCAGCTTGCAATTTCGACCCCGCTTGTCCCTGAGAGGCGCTCGCAGATGTTCGGAAGTTCAACCATGTTGTCGTCGTGAAGTTCCAAAAACAAGGTTTCTAGCTGGGCCCAGAGAAGTTTCACGCCAGAAGCTCTGGAAAGTCGGTCCCGTTGACAATCCGATTGCAGCTTCCGCTGAAACCGGCTTCCGCATCGCTCTCGCCTTGTAAACCCTAAGCCCTTTTGTGCCAGCCCTGCCAATTCGTGACGCTTCGTGGCGAGTCATTTCTGCATCATGTGGCTTCTCAAGACAACGCTGCCTAGTGTGCGAGGCGGAAGCGAGAAAGGGACTGTTTTGGCCGTTCAACCGTGGGAGACTAGAGTTACCATGTGCGGGGTGGGCTCTTGTATTAAGCCAATATACTTCTTGCTATATGGCATATGACTGATCTTATGATATATACCTCTCGAGGTTTGGGTCGGGGTTGAGGGTAGATTTCGAGCTCCCAGTTTCACTCGTAGCCCATCGCAGCCAGACCAGAAGGACCAGGATGCGGCCGAACCCAGTCTGGCAGATGGGTTTTGGGGCATACTCTTTCAAGCCCAGCAAAACTGATGATATGTCCCTAGACTCTAGGCCCTAGACCGTCAACCTGCCGACTCTTCGCAGCAACCTGGGCTTCGTAATTCACTGTGCGCCTTGCGTGATGCGACGGCCGTGCCACCCAAAAGAGCTCATGTGCATGCAGGGTTGAGGGTTTCGGGTGTTGTATGATATTCCTAAACCCGAACTACGTAAACCCTAAACTTTAGTCTTTATGCTCGATGGGCCTGTAACTAAGCCGGACCCCTTGCAGGAGCGCTGAGAAACCCAGAAACCCGGAGCTCCCCCCACCTGCAGCCCTGACAGGGCTTTGGGGCTACCTTGGGGCTACCGGGCCCTTAGGGGTTTAGGGGGCTCAGGGTTTAAGAGGCTTTTGCTTAAGGGCCCGTAGGGTTAGGGGGGCATAGGGTCAAGGGCTCTTAGGGGGTGAGGGGCCTTTTCCACATTGAGAGTGTTTTGGGGCTTGACTTCAGGCAATTGGGGCGTTAGAGTTCAGGTTTGAGGCTTTGGGTCAGGATTCAGGGAAGCTAAGCGTGTGCTGTCCCCCCAAACTTTTCTGCTGGCTCCTAGAGCCCCGAGCCCCGTGCTTTCAGCAACAAGGCGAAGCCCGAAACCCCAACCCGAGCCCCCAAATCCTCTGCCGTAAACTCCAAATCCCCAGCCTTAAACCTGCAAGCCGAAAGCCCAACTTCCCAACGCTCCGCCGGCTCAAAAGCTCTGAGTAAGAAAGTATCGGTGCTGTGCTCTGAGAGTTTCCCACTCTTCGCTGCGACACGAAGCCATGGCCCGGCAGCTTGAACAGGCCACCTCTCTTTAGAAGAGTTGGGTTTTTGTTGGTTTAGGGTTTAGGGTCTAGGGTTTAGGGTTTAGGGTTCAGGGCTCAAAAGTTTAGGTTGGTGCTTTTTCACTTTCGATTTCGCTATTGGTTTGGGGTTCACTTCGTCTTTGGGTTTTGGGGAGCGTGACCGTTGCTCTTCTTGGGTCAGTTTTCGCTCCGGAGCGCCCAACCTTTTTGATCAAGCGGCTTTGTTCCCGGCTCCCTACTACAATCATTGCTTAAACACCCCGGACCCTTCTTTACTCTTAATGCCCCCCCCATCGCTTGACAAACATCCCTTATAACGGAACAACAGCATCACAACCTCCGTAGCAGGGCTTAGGGGGTTTAATCACAGCTAGGGCTCCATAATGATATTTATTAATGCATGCACCGCATGGAAGTTGATCAGCATATTGCTTTCAGCAAAGAAGCAGAAGGTACGCTCCCATTTTGAGTGAGGATCTCCGGACAAGGACGCGTATTCCCTGTGGCCCCTCCGTCCCTGAAGCTTTCCGAAATGCCTCAGAGGCGCTTTCACGGTTGCAACACACCCCCAGACCAACACAGGAGATCTATGACATGGAGTCAATGTCGGAGACGCACACCATGCTGAGGGGAGAGCAGAAAGAGCCGCATCCCCTGCGTTCTGGTGCTGCATGGTTCAGAACTCTAAGTGTAGACACAAGCTCTTGAGCTCGAAAGCTAAACTCCACAGAGGCATAAATCCGAAGGCTAACTCCTTACATCCCGAGCCCGCAAAGCCAAGGACCCACTGGTGCCGCGACTGAGGGGTTTGAGGGTTCGCGTTTTCGGGTTGTTACATTCAGGTTGGGACTTCGTCCGTCCTTGCTTGTTCGAGTGCGTTTCTGTCTTTGCCTTCAAACCCCTAGGCCCCAAACCTCCTCGGGGCCCTGAGCAAGGCCGTTCTTGAAAAAATGCTGCTTGTTTTTTGTACGGTTTCACTTGGCTTTCTGGCTGGATATATGCTAGTTTTTTGGAGAGAAAGACATGCATACTTAAAGGATCATGGGACCTAGGTAGGTATGAGCTAGCAGCTCCTAGCCCCGGTTCAGAGGTTTAGGGTTTAGGGTTCAGCGGTTTGGGGGGCTTCGGGGGTTTAGGCCCCCAAGAGCCCTCCATGATAAACTTCCCAAGCCATCATGCTAAGTTGGCTGCCCGAGACTCAGCAGAGCTCGGTCTTAGCCTTCGGCGCACACGAAGCCCCCAAAAGCTGAAAACCAACCGTCTTCAATCAAAGCGAAGCTCTGAGGCAAAGCAGATGGTCGAGGACCGACGGGGGTGCAGGTTGTGCTGCTTAGTGCCGAACAGTTCGCGTTTCGGGTTTCGGGTTATCGGGTTCGGGTGTAGGGCTCAGGGGTTTGCCTTCAGAGCAGTCTGAGCCCGGGCCTTGGGCTTTTTGGGGGGGTCATGCCTCTGGCCCGGTTTCGTGTCCTCCAGCCCAAGCCCCCAAGAATTCGACTTTAGGGCTCAGGGTGCCGAAAAAGCCCACAATTCCTTCAAGCACACGGGTTTAGGGTTTAGGGTGGTGTACATGCCCAGTCCGAGAGTTGCAGAGTTCACGGTGAGAGGCCCCCATAATAACAACAGACCCGGTCGGGTATAGGGTAGCTCTTCTATAAGGATTTCCGACTGCAGCTGGAGGCCCCTGCCTTCCTCTGAAAATGGAAAACTCTGGATCTGGGTTTGGTTGGCCAGGCTCGTGACTGAGGGTTGCCAATTGAGGATTAACATCGCAGCCTCAACAAAGCCCGTAGCCCCAAGAATCCAGCACGGCCTGCAGCCCGAAGCTCTAACCCTGAAGACCTAAGCCCTATAAACCCGACGCCTAGAGTCCCCTAAACCTTACACCCTGGCCGGGCTGGGGCTCCGTTTTTTTTTTTGATGGGGTTTTCGACC